CAGCTCCCACTGGTGAGTGTGAGAGTCACAACTGTGGACAGACTTGGCTGAGCAAGGCAACTGCAGCCACCACACGAATGTGGGCTGGGTGAGGGCAGGACAGACTAGGCTAGGCTCCAGCACCCACTGGCATTCAAAAGAGCAAAAATGGGTATGAGACAAGCCAGGCTAGGCCACAGCATCCAACAGGTCACACAAAGCCAGGTCTAGGAGTGGGCCAAGATGGGTTAGGCAGTAGTACCCCTTGCTTCGAGTTGCAGCAGATGCAAGCAAATTGGGCTAGGCTATAGCACCTTCCAATGAGTGCCAAGACTGAGAGCTGGCCATGTCAGGCTGGGCCGCAGCACCCAATGGCACTCACGAGATCCAGGGCTGGGACCAGGCCTGGTACAGAACCTAGGGAACTCCTCTGCTATGCTCCTACAGGTAAGTGCAAGGCCAGGCTAGTTTGGGCTACAGTACCTGTCAGTGTACTTGTGGGCTGGGTCTGGGTTTGGGGTTGGCTGTGCTAGGCCTGGCTGGGCCAGTCCATAGCACACTGGCACAAGTAAGAGCTGTGACTGGATGTAGGCCATCTGCCAGTTCATATGAGGGCTGAAAGTGGGTCAGGATGAGCTAGGCTGCTGGACCCACCAGCAACAACGGGGACTAGGAATGGACAGGGCTGAGCCAGGCTGCAGCACCTGCTAGTGAATACAGAGATTAAGAGTAGCCTATTTCAGACTGGGCCACAGTACCTGCTTGCATGCACAAAATCCAGGTTTGGGACTGGGCCTGGCAGCGGAACCTCAGGAACCCAGCCCTCAGCCCCTACTGGGCTGCTGCCTCATGAGAGCTGGGACTAGGGCAGGCTGCTCTGGGCAGTAATGCAGCACTCATCAGCCAGCATTTGGGTTGGTTCTGGGAGTGAGCCAGACTAGGTACCCGCTGTGACAAAAGAGAGCCAAGATGGGATCAAGCCAGCTAGCCTAGGCAGCAGAACCAACTGGCAATGCCTGGACTGGGTACAAGTTATCTCAAGCAGAGCTGCAGTATCCTCTGGTGGGCACAAAATCCAGGGCAGGGAACAGGCCTGGCAGGAGAACTGTGGCCATTCCCTTTCCAGGCTGCAGCTCCGAGCAACCCAGAACCAGGGCTGGGAGTGCAGCAGGCTGGTCTTGGTAGCAGCACCCAATGGCATAAATATGGACCAGGTCTGGGAGCGGTTTGGACTGAGCAAAGCTGCAACACCCATGGGTATGCACGAGAGTCACATGCTAGCACATGCAAAAACCAGGGCTGGGAGTGTGCCTGGTAGAGGTTATTGGGGGTCACCCAGTCTACACCACTGATGTGAGTGAAGACCGGGCCTGTGGTAGGCTGGGTTAAGTTACGTCACAGCACCCACCAGTTCACATGAGATATAGGGGTAGAACTATCAGGCAGCTACATTCACCAGTTACTGTGCATTGGCTGGTGCAGGGAATGGACTGAAACTAACACAGTACTAGCCAGCACACCTAAGAGTCAAGTCTGAGGTCACCTCAGGTGAAGTTGCCAGGGGGACTCCCCAACCAGATGGCTTGCATGTATCAGTACTGGGCCTCTACTGTTGCTGATGCCTGTACAGTAGACAGCATGCCCAGAGGCGCATGGCAGCCAGCTCATCTAGGCCAGCACAGGATTCCTAGTGCCTCTTCAGAGGATGGAAAACAGAACAGATTCGACAACTCTCCTTGCCAAGCTTTGCAGTTAATGTCTGGGGCTATTAAGCTAGATTTCCTCAACCAACAGAACTTAGATTTTCTCAACCCTAGTGCAATGAAGCCAACAATCTCAAAGCTATCAAAGCCACTCAAGTAACACCCTCAGGACACTCTTCCCCACACCAGGATCTCTAAGGTGTTATCAAATGATCGTCCTCCATCCCCACAAGCTGATGTGGTTTGACAGCAAAGATCAGTGCCCTCCCTTTCTCCCTCTACAGACCAAGAGAATAAAAAGAACTGAACATTTGTCCCCGCCATATTCCTCCACACCTGGACCTTCCCGACCCTAACTGGAGGCCCACATGGGCATGTATACATCCCTCTCAACAATGTAAACAATAATTTAAAATTTTTTGGGCCCGGCGCGATGGCGCAGTGGTTAAAGTCCTTGCCTTGCACGCCCGGGATCCCATATGGGCGCCGGTTCTAATCCCGGCAGCCCCACTTCCCATCCAGCTCCCTGCCTGTGGCCTGGGAAAGCAGTCGAGGACGACCCAGAGCTTTGGGACACTGCACCCGTGTGGGAGACCCGGAAGAGGCTCCTGGCTTCGGATCGGCATAGTATCGACCGTTGCGCTCACTTGGGGAGTGAATCATCGGACGGAAGATCTTCCTCTCTGTCTCTCCTCTCTGTATATCTGCCTTTCCAACAAAAATAAAAAAATAAATATTTTAAAAAAAATAAAATAAAATAAAATAATTTAAAATTTTTAATTAATTGTTTCAGAGATTCCAAAGCAGTTATGTTTGCAAGAAAACTTATACAGTTGCTTATAACAAAAACAGCCTCCAACGTTGATAAGCATTTGTATAATGTGATGCACACATTTTGCTCTGGGCCTCATTGTATTGCCAGAAGATAATGTTAATATCTACCTCCGAGGGTTGCTGTGCAAATCACATTCTTTCATTTATGAATGAAATGAATGAATAAATGAAATGAATGAATGAATGAAAGCACGTAAGTGCTTAGAACTGTCTACACAGTTTTTAAAATGTAGTACCATTAATATATTTGGCATATTTTGCATAGAAAATTGAATTTTGTTAAAAAAAAAACATATTTGAACAAAAGGAAAACAAATGCAATCAAGTAAAAGTTCAATTCAGGATTCTCTACAAGCAACATTAAGAAAAATAATCAATTCGCATAATTTAATAAACTTCAAGAACCTCAGAGCAACAGGTCTTGCAAATCCTTAAACCAGCTGAAGTTAATCACATTCACCTAACGCACAGTCTTGCGAAGGAGAGCCAGTAGTAGACTTAGTAAAATATGTACACTTTCCATTCTGGGGACAAAGTCTACCAATTGTAACAAAGTCAAGCAACAGCACTAGGCCTCCGATGCTTCCAGAGTAGATACTTTCCTGTGAAAACTGTAAAGAGCTTCACACAGCGTCCTTTAAATGATACCCAAAGCAGCCTATTAAAAATGGAAACAAATCTAGAGTTCAGGTTCAGCATGTGCTACTAGCTCTGGTAATCTCTGTTACCTTTTCACAAAAAAATGGTCAAGCTTGTTTTACAATTTTTCTTACTCTTCAGGAAAAATTATCAAGCTTTGGTAACTACCAAACCAATAAATGTTTTAGGTAAAAATCAACAGTAGGGGTTCCGGTGGCGTGGCCTAGCAGCTCAAGTTCTCGCCTTGAACGTCCCGGGATCCCATATGGGCCCCGGTTCTAATCCCGGCAGCTCCACTTCCCATCCAGCTCCCTGCTTGTGGCCTGAGAAAGCAGTCGAGGATGGCCCAAAGCCTTGGAACCCTGCACCCGTGTGGGAGACTTGGAAGAGGCCCCTTGTTCCTGGCTTCGGATCAGCGCAGTACCAGCCGTTGCGCTCACTTGGGGAGTGAATCATCAGACAGAAGATCTTCCTCTCTATCTCTCTTCCTCCTCTCTGTATATCTCACTTTATAATAAAAATAAATAAATCTTTTTTTAAAAATTTAAAAATTAAAAAATAAATTAAAAAATAATAATAATAGTAAAAATCAACAGTAGGGCCAGCACCCTGGTATGGTAGGTTGACCTTCTACCTGTGTCATCAAGATCCTGCATGGATGCTGGTTCATGTCCTGGTTGCTCCATTTCCAACCCAGCTCTCTACTTACAGCCTGGGAGGGCAGTGGAGGATGGTTCAGGTCCGTGGACCCTTGTGCCTATATGGGAGATGTGGAGGCAACTCCTGTCTCCTGGCTTCAGATCAGCTCAGCTCTGGCTGTTGTGACTACTTGTGAAGTGAATCCAAGGATGGGAGATTAATATTCTTTCTCTCTCTCTGTATAATTCTGTCTTTTGGGTTAAAAAAAACAAATCTTATTTTTTAAAAAATCAGTAATAGTTGATAAAATTTGTGAATGAAAGTTTGAGGTTCAGTGAAAAAACAAAATAATTGAGGGGAAAAAAACCTATGATATTGTTTCTGGTTAGATTCCCAAAGCTTTAGCATTTTTTTGCTTTAGCATCCCAATAACCATATTATAGAAATATATAAGCAAAAATATATATATAAGTATGTATACTGTAAGATACATATTTTGCTTAGAAATTAATTTTACCATCTTCATCTGTGAAACATGCTATTATCATCTAACATAATCAGATTATTAATCCAATCAGGTAAAGCATTCTAAGTAACTAACAGGGTAGCTGATAGAATATCAGGAATAGTATATTCCAAATGCAAATCAGAGATGTGATTCTGATTCAGGTTGGTATTATCATTATTCTACATCTATAGTAGTTTAAAAAAATCATCTTTTGAAAATCTGTTTAATTTTCTTGGAAAGGCATCACATTTACAGACAGAAGGAGAGACAGAGAAAAAGGTCTTCCATTCACTGATTCACTCCCCAAATGGCCACAACAGCCAGAGCTAATCCAAAACCAGGAGCCAGGAGCTTCTTCCAGGTCTCCCACGCGGGTGCAGGGTCCCAACGCTTTGGGCTACCTCAACTGCTTTCCAAGACCACAATCAAGGAGCTGGATGACATGTGAAGCAGCTAGGATATATGAACCGGTACCCATATGGGATGGAACGATTGGCCGATCGAGCCACTGTGCCAGGCCCAAGAAAATCATCTTAATCCTGAAAGCAACTAATTCCGTATCATACAGACCTAAAGGACCATTTCAAGTAAATGGTTCAATCCCTCAATGTATTACTTTCTACAAATAAAACAAAAAAAATCTTCAAAGGAATAAAAAAAATTATAGTAAAAATTAAAGCTTTTTTTTTGTAACTTACTGGCTGGCTAAATCAGATCCCAGCTTAGAGTCATCAGGTGCCTCCTGTTCCATGTCAGAGTCCACACCAGACTCACCTGAAAATGAAACAGACATGAGCCCACCACTACACAAAGTATCATCTCTAAAGAACTTCACAATCATTACATGAAACGCTTATGCTTAAAATAGTGAGTTCTTTCCAATGCCTCTTTACATATATTTCATTGCCTTTTTATTAAAATATGTGCATACATATTTTCAGACTGCATACACAGTATACACCTATTTCAAGAATTACAAGATCCCAATAAATCATTTTACACTTTTAAAAGTTCTCTCTGAAAATTAAGTCTCCATTTTGGTTCTTCTTCTAGGATGCAAATGCTAAAATCCTTAGTAAGTTCCGAAAGGAAGAAAAAAAAAGTCTCAAAATCCAAGTGTCTATCACAAAGAGCACACAGAGTAGTCCCACTTCAGGTGCACAGAGACATCACTAAGCTGCCGAGGAGCCTTCCGGCACTGCCCCTGCCCCTGCCGCAGAAACAGTGCACGGCAGGTGATAACCACTGTCAAGAATGTAATGAGGGAAATCTAAAAACTACTTCTGAAAAAAAAAATTTTTGCCTTCTCAAAATTTTCTAATTTTATAGACATATTACAGGGTACAAGCTCATGTTCTCACTTATACATTTGATTTGAAAAACCATTTATCAAATGGATTCTGAATGTGCTACTCTGATACACAAATTATATTTCTTGGTACAAATAGAAATGAAGATACTCTCCAAATAATGAAAGCAAGCTGACATGCAAGTAGGGAAAAGTAATATTTCAAGAAGCATGCTAACTATATTAATAAGCTACCTTACCTTCAAGAATCTTCAGGATTTTTTTTTCAGACAGCAGCTCTAACTGTTCCTGGCACAGTTTTTTAATTTCTTCTATTGAACAGTTCTAGAGGAAATGAGATTTTCAAACAATACCTTTACGTAATATATCTCCAACGTAAGTCAGAAAATAATTGCAAAAAAAGGTTCAAAGATCTTAACAATAAAACTAAGCATTCAAGTAGATGCACTAAATCTTTTCATGGGATGAAATCTGAAGATGTTCACATGAACATTTTCTGAGATTTGATACGAATATATAAAGTCATGTTCATGATGAAAGAATGAACTAGAAAATTTAATTTCCCAAGTATTGTTGTATCCTATTTGTATTAAGTTGTTCCTCTAAACTTTAAATAATTTAAGCTTTAGCTCTACGTATGTCAAGCCTATAATCTTGGACCGTTAAAGGCCTGCTTTCAGCACAGTAAAACTAGAATCATACTCTACTCGAATACTATTTTTTGAGGTAAGTATACAAAAACTCTCATGAATTTAACAAAACATAAGGGTACTTCGAAAGTTTGGAAGAAAATGGAAACACAGAGCATGTGAATTTTCCATGCACATTGGAAGACTCCAGTGCCATCACTACATGCCCACTGATTTTATTACTTCTTACAGCACCAAAAAGGTTCCGTGTATTTCCAATGTAGTTACTACTGTTGCCAGCACTTAATAGAATTATTCCTACATGATCAATACACTTCTTGCCTAAACATTTTTTTTCTAGGCAGAATTTTAAATATACAAAGCCATATATGGTTTCCAAAGTCCCTTCACAACATATTTTCAAGTCTCTTTCATATAAAAACATCTAATTACATACAGCATTAAATGAAACACTGGCTACTATATAGAAAGCTGCACTTCCAGGTACAGGACGACATCAAAAATCCTGTGGAAAATGAAACTAAACAAACACATGAAGTTTCCCATGAACTTTCTGAAGCCATTTCATGTGTACAGTGTGAGCATGTATGTAGTAACACAATACCTTTAACACTTCAGGAAGCATCTTCTTCAATTTCTTCTCTCCTATAATGCAAAAGCATTGCTGTAGCATCTCTTTTTTGTCAGAGATGTAGAAGCTAACGGGTTTCAATGACACAGTCAGGTCTAGTCCACCTTCTTCAAGGTCACTATGCTCTGCCAACAGCAATTCATTTTCCAAAGTTGGCAAAAGATATTTGGTTTCCTAAAATTAAAAAAATAACAAATCATTACATAATACTACCAAAAATATATGGATAAAGAATTACAGTATACGAGTATGGTATCACAGAGTTAATCTACTAAATTCTTCATTAAGCATTTTTTTTCTTTTGAAAGGCAGATCGATAAGGAGGAGAGAGAAGGTCTTTCATCTCCTGGTTCAGTCCTCAACTAGCCGCAAAGGCCAGAGTTGAGCAAATCCAAAGGTAAGAGCCAGAAGCATCTTCCAGGTCTCCCACATACATGCAGAGTCTCAAGGCTTCGGGCCGTCCTCCACTGCTTCCCCAGGCCACAAGCAAGGAGCTGGATGGGAAGCGAAGCAGTCAGGACACGAACCACTGCCTATATGGGATGCCTGTGCCACAGGGCCAATGACTGGCTTGCTGTGACACAGTGTTGGTCCCTAAGCATTTCTAATTATTTACATACTATTAATTAAAACCACAGGAAAGAATACTTAATTGTTCAGCATCCTTTACTCTTTCTCTCCATACTTCAATTGATTTAGAAAGCAGCTACAAAGAAAAGAGATAACATTTTAGTGCACACAAATAAAGGTATATTTAATATTAAGAATTTTGAAGAATTAGGATGTTCTTCCACGTCACCATTGTCTATATAAACTCATATAAGGTTTCAAAACAGGATCAAAATGTTAAACAACAAAAAGATTTTAAAATAATGCTTACCACTCCTCAAAAAATACAAATTAAATCATTTTCACACTAATCATTTTCAACAGTCCTGATAATTTAAAATATTAGCATTCACTTTGGATTCCATCTCCCAAACCACACTTAAGATCTCCAAGCAGACTGCAATAATCCTGTTTCAAACTTCCATGATCCTCAGCTTAGATTATATCAATAGCCGTTTATCTGGACTTCCTCTATCTAAACTGAAGTCTCTGTTCTATTCCGTTAGCAGATGAATTTTATACTCAGTGACTTCTTCTGGTCTTCTTGGGATGACACGGCTTGCTTAGCTCTTCCTGCTCATTCTGTCCTCTGGAAATGCTCTTTTTTTGAAAAATCCAAATGTAATCTGTTCTTCAGCTTAAAGAGGCAGCAAGGCTTTTGTACATACCAATCTCTCCCTCATCATCTTTCCTCCCCAGTTTCTCCACACCACACTATACTCACAAGATGAGCAAATTCAGAAATCTCAGGTATTATACTCCAACTCACCCCCTCCCAGAAATCTTCTCTTCCTTGATCATAAAAATCAAGATGTATTTCATATTGTGATAGAACTGTCCAAAAAATTGTACAGGTTATTAACGGTAATTAGACTTGAAAGTAGAAAACTCATGCTTTGCTACTAGAAACAGAAAATGGTGCAGTAGCTTTGGAAGGAAGAGTTTGGCAGTTCCTCAAAAAGCTGCCGTATGGTCCAGCAAACCCACTTCCAGATGCATATCCAAAAGAAACATAACATGTCTGTACAGAATTTGTATATCAATGTTCATAGCAGCATTATTCATAAAAGTCAAAGAGAAGAACAATCCAGACGGCCATTATGTGTTAGATGGGAAAACAAAATGCAATATTATTCAGCCATAGAAAAGGAAACTTGTGCTAAGAAATGTCTGTGTGCTATAGCAAGAATAAACTTTCATAATACTATACTTAACCTTGATAATACTATACTGGGGCTGGCTCAACTGGCTAATCCTCCACCTCCAAGAACCAGGATCTCATACAGGCACCAGTTTGTGTCCCATATCCTTCACTTCCCATCCAGCTGCCTACTTACGGCCTGGAAAAGCAATGGGACTCCACACCCAACTGGGAGAACCTGACAAAGCTATTGGGCTCCTGGCCTCAGATGAGATCAAATCAGCTCCAGCCATTACAGTCATTTGGGGAGTGAAACAATGGTTCAAAGATCCTTCTGTGTCTGTCCTTCTCTCTGTAAATCTGCTTTTCCAGTTAAACACACACACACACACACACACACACACACACACACACACACAAACCCACTTAAATACCATGCTAAATAAAAAGCAGACACAAAATCCCACTTTTTCCATTCATATAATGTATCCAGAAATATGTAAGTTTACAGAATTAGAAAGTAAATAAACAGTTACCTGGGGACGGAACAGCATGGAGGTACCAGGGATTATTGCTATTTTTGGAGTGATAAAACACTTTCAAAATGACTGTATTTTAAAAAAACAATGAAATCTTTTTTTGAAATGGACAAATGGCATGGCAAGCCAATAATATCTCAATAAAACTCCTGGGAAACATACAATGAAGCTGGGAGAGGTGTGGTGGTGCAACAAAGTAAACCTCTTGTTGGAATGCCCACTTTGCATACCACAGTGCCCGTGTTCAAGTCTGGATTCCACTCTCATTCCACCTTCCTACTGATACATACTGTGGGAGGAAGCAGGTGATGGCTCCGATACCCTGACACCTGTGTGGGACACCAGGACTTTGTTCTTGGGCTCAGCTTTTATCTGGCACAGTCCTGGATGTTTCTGGCACTAAAGGAGTGAAGCACCATGCCAGACCTCTCTCTATGTGCCTGTACACATCTCAAAGACTTTTTTTAAACAACATGATCTAATCAAGAGAAAGATGTGTGATTTTATCAACAAAATGCTAAAAACCATCTGTTAAAATTCAACAGGCCCAAGTAAACTAGAAGAAAACTTTCCTAACCTTATCAAATCTGTCTCTCTCAAAAATCTATCACAAATATATTCATTGGTAAAATATCAGAAATGTTTCCATTCAAAAAATAAGGGGGGAGGGAGGAGAATAGGAAGAATGCTGCAAAAACAAAACAAAACAACAAGAAAAAGTTAGTGTTAAAAGGAGCAGACAAAGCTCATTGCAACCAGAAACATTTTGGAGAAAATTTAAACAATTTTTTTAGTTGTATGTGGCTATATGTAATAAAATAAATAAATCACCTATGCATCCAAAACTCTCAATTTAAAGATGTCATGTTAAAAACACTGCAATAAGAATAAATGTTGTGTAATCTTAAACAGGAAAGTTCCTTCTACAGAACAAAATCCTGGGACCTACGCAGTGACATACTGGTTGATCCTTCCCCAGCAACCTATTTGAGCTCCAGTTTATGTTGTATCTGCTCCACTTTCCATTCAGCCTTCTGTTTTACCGCCTGGGAAAACAGGGAAAGATGACCCAAACCCTTGGGCCTGTGCACCCTCAGGAGTTCCTGGCTCCAAACTAGCCCAGTTCTGGCTGCTGTGACCATTTAGGTAATAAGCAGCAGACGGAAGATCTCTGTCTCTCCCTATCTCTAACTCTGACCAAGTAAAATAAAATAAATCTTTAAAGAGAGAAAGACAGAAAGTAAAATCCAGAAGGCTAAACTAGCCTGCGTTTTGACTACAAAGAAATCACCAGTAGGTTGGCATCATAGCTCAAAGGCCAGTCCTCCAACCTGTAGCTTCAGCAACCCAAATGAGCGCTGGTTCGTGTCCCACCTGCTTTACTTGTGATGCAACTCTCTGCTTATGGCCTGGGAAAACACTGAAGCATGGCCCAAGTGTTTGGGACCCTGCACTCATTTGAGAGACCCAGAAGAGGCTCTTGGCTCCCAGCTTTGGATCAGCTCAGCTCTGGCCATTGTAGGCATTTGCAGAGTGAACCAGTAGACACAAGACCTTCTCTCTGTAAATCTGCCCTTCACAAAAAATACAACTTCAAAAAAAAAATCACCAGCTTTCAAACACAATGAACACTTTACTATTGTAACAGTTGTAATTATTGTAAACTATTGCCTTTGAAGTATACATCCCTACAAAAGGCTTAGAGTCAAACTGTATGTAAATGCACTTAGAAATTACCAATCAAAACATGGAAACAAAGAGAAAAACAGGCAGAATATATGTATGGAATCAATGACAAACAAAAACAAAAATGCTCAACTTCAGTCTTAATCAGGAAAGTATAAATAAATGCAACTGCACAGTTAGGTTGATCCACTGGTTTTGCAAATCTTTAAAACATGAATTTTAAAGGTTAGCAAACACTTTATGAACTACAACCAGTGAAGTCTTCTATGTAGCCCCTGCTTCCTGAAATTGCAAAAACTGATGAAGTCATTTCACTCCTGAGACTATTTCACATTCCAGCTCATCTTCTGCATAAGATTGTATCTACAAGGGTTTGCCTTTTGTGTTGTATTAACATACCGAAATGCACCATAACATGATGGAAAATATATAGAAAGACACGTATGCCAACAGCTCAGCTGTATTACCCAGCACAATGGAGGCGCCCCGTAAAGCTTACATGTGGAAACTTTCCAAAACATGTGTGTGACACTGGGTGATGAAAAGACTGGGCCAAAAGCCACTAAAGGGAAAGCACGTAGCCCTTTATTTCTGGGTTGAATGAATTTCAGGCATTTATTCATTTTATGATTTGTAAACTTGTTTCTTTACAACGGTGGTGGCTGAGGAGGCTGATGGCAAATAGCGAACGTGCTTTCGGTAGTCAAGATACTAGATTCCAATCCAGGCACTAGTCACCTCCGGGACTGTGCGGGAAAGCTCCTCAACCTCCAGGGCCTCGTCTGCTCATGTGTCATGTGCACTTTATCAGAAGTGAACACGAAGAGAGAAGTAAAGCGAACGGCTCACAAGGATACCGAGAGCTCGCTTCCAGCTGACACTGTGTGGGGACCGAGGACAACCCCAGGAATGGTAAGGGGCAATTTTTTTTTTTTCTTTTTAAGGACCCAGTAGATTCAGAAACTTTTCGTCCAAACCCTGGGGGGGGGATTTGGGGGTGGGCACTCGGGCCGGTGCCCCATCACTCCTGCACCTGCCTCCTGGGCAGCAGGGGATCCAGGAAGCGGCCAGGGGGAGCGCACGCACCTGCTGCAGGGAGCCCGAGACGCCGGACGACGAGTCCGTGCTCCTCCGCTTGCGGCTCCCCCAGCTGCTGCCCCCGCTGCCCCCGCCGGTCACACTGCCCGTGAGGCTGGCGTTCCCGCAGCAGCTGACGCTCCCGCAGCCGCTCGTGCTCCCGCAGCCGCTCGTGCTGCCGCTGCCGCTGCCGCCCACGGCGGGGACGGGCTCAGGGGCCGCCACGGTCGCGGCCACCTCCTGGCCGCTACGCCTGCGCCGCTTCTCCCGGGAAGACTTCTTCCCCGTCATGATCGCTCCGCTGCAACCATCCAGGGAAAGCCCTCCGTCTCCCGAGCGACCGAAAGCTCCCTCCTCCGGAGGCAGGCACCTGGCGGCGGCGTCGCCGGCTGTGCGTCACTTCCGGCCTCGGCGCAGAGCGTGGTGAGGCATTTCTGGAGGCGGGGTCGGGGCGGGCCGCGGGGCGTGTTGGGGTTGGGAGGGCGACGCTGGTGCCGGTGGGTTTTCTCACGCGTGTATTCAGCGAGGGTGGAAAGCGCACCGTTACAGAGGCTCTATACCTTGCTGATCGTAGTCTTCAGTGTTTCTTGCTTTTACAGCAATACTCCATAAAGTAAAAGTGCGATTTCTACCTCTCCATTTTCATTTGTTTCCCAATTTTATAACATTTAGCCACACGGAACAGTAGAAAAAGTAGGGAACGGTACTTTCATTACCTTCAACACCTAGCAAAGCTTTCTTTCTCTTTTCTTGTAGTTACAGAATTGTGTTACGAGTAGGGGTCTTGCACTTCCTTGTTCTTCACCCTTGGGCTTATTTCTAGCCTGACTCCTTGTTGATTCTAGGCACTTAGCTCCGGTACTTTATTATGCCCTTAATTTACTTAACTAATAATTAAGTAGTAGCATGAGGCTGTTAAACCAGTCTTTCGCTTTTCAAAATAATGCAGTCATTAACAGTCATTCTCCTTAGGATGTTTTCCACCCAAAAAAGATAGGAGAATCCGCAGCATCTTGACTTTTTTGTTGTTGTTGTTGTTCTTGTTACAGACTCCTGTGAAAAAGGACAGTAAATTTAAAATATCACTCATACACTGAAATACTTGTTTAAAATTTATCCTGACATTTTAATACTAGAGTTTCCCATTCTTGGTACACGGTGTTGAATACTATTCCACTATTTGGAATGTGCATTTGTTCATTGTGAAGTTTAGCCTTTTATCGAATGGAATAGATGTGTTACTGTGTAAATGCTCATTGATTTTTTATGTTGATGCCATGCGATGAAATTAAAAGATTGGCAGATTAGTGTTTTGATCTTTCTACTATCTGTTTCTCCCTCAAAAGCTGCCTTTTGGCCCAGTTCTTGGTTTTTTAAACAAGAAAATTAGTTTGAGAATGACTGAAATTGATGAGGTAAAGGACGTTTTGGAAAAGTTTGAGGCAAGAAATGTAGGAGAAAAGCAGCAATGTGTGAGCGTTGCAGTGAGAGAGAACTGAACGGAGTTACTTGTGAAGATTATGTAGTACTTCTTGGAAAGAATCCAAGGAACAAGCAACCAGCTTGGGCCAGTCTCACCATGAATGATCGCTTTATGAGGGCCGGATGGTTATGGTTGGGCGATCACCAGAACAGAAGCCAGGTTCCCCAAATAAAGCAGGCGGGAATTCATAACCAGGAGAACTTCAGCCCTGGGAAAACAGTCTCAGCTCCCGAGCACCACCCTTCACTTTGCTTTCTAGATTCTGACGCTGAGTTTGCTGTTCCTGGGAGTCCCATGTTGTTCTCATTAAGTGTCACACATGAAAGGAATGGGAAGGTTGTGCTCAGCGGTGGAATCATAGACGAAATTAATGGTGCATAACATTTACAACCCTGTTGTGAAACGACTTTTATTCCCGCAAATCCAAGTGGTGGAATTCTAATGTTACCGCATCTTTGTTTTTGTTTTTGTTTTGTTTTGTTTTGTTTTGTTTTGTTTTTTAGATAGGACTGTTCATTCAAGTTGTAATTAGTGTTAGGAGAGGTCCAAAAGAGGGACCCTCATTCAACTACTGTCCTTGTAGAAAGATGAAGAACCACCAGAGATAGCCCTCTGAACTCTCAGTTTATGCAAAGGAAATGTGACTTGATGATGTTGCTGCAAGGCAGACATCCACAGTCAGGAAGAAAAGCCTGGCCGGAAACCAAACCTGTGGGCTCCTGCATCTTGACTTTTGAGCCTCTCTAACCCTAGACCATAAGTATCTTGGTTTGTTTGTTTGTTTTTATAGCATTCTGGATTATAATATTTTGTCGTGGCAGCCTGACATAACACATAGAAGCCCAAAATAGTGTGTGTTAACTTCAGTAAAGCTAGTTGTTTCTGAATTCCTGCTGCAAACTTACACCACTAGTTTTGAGAAACTTCTGAGTTTCCATTTTGTTCTCAACAACTTATCCACAGTTTCCATCTTTCTTTGGCTGGCCCAGGAATACAGAACATTGCTCCCTAGATTGCTGAAGAATATGAATTTGCCAGATGATCCCAGTCTTTGTGCCCACCCAGCATACACTTGATCTGGGTCAAAGGCATTGTTTTACCATGCTGTGATAGAGAAGGGAACAAAACAGGTAAATGTCAGGGTTTCAGAGGCTTATTTCTAGATGGTGGAAGCAGACAACACAAAAATGCATATAAGGTGTGTTTCTGCTTTCACGGGCTGTGGCACTCTGCATATGCATAATCATCACCGTTTTATTTTTCCTCAGTGCTCTTAAAACCACCACACGCTTTTTTTTTTTTTAAGCCTTACTAATTTTTTATTTGAAAGGCAGATTTACAGAGAGGAGAGACAGAGTGAGAGAATCTTCATCTGCTGGTTCCCTCCCCGATTGGCTGCAATGTCTGGAGCTGGGTCAGTCTGAAGCCAGCAGCCTTTTCCTTCTGGGTCGGCCACATGGATGCAGGGACCCAAGGAATCCTCCACTGCTTTCCCAGGCTGTAAGCAGGGAGCTGGATTGAAATAGGGTCTCCAGAACTTGAACCCACACACAAATGGGACGCTGAGATTGCAGGCAGAAGCCTAGTAAGTCAATACATATATTTATTTGGCTCCTTCTGCTTGAAAGAAAGCTCCATGAGACAAAACACCTGGTTTATTTCTGTGTTCCCAATACACTGTCCTCTAAAAAATTGGCATATGCTGAATCCTTAATTAGACTATTTTGAGTGAATGATTAGATAATTTTATTTGTAAAACCAAGTTTGTAAAAGATTATATAATTTACTAAACCATGGGAATGAATGTTCCAATCAAGTTACAAACTGCTTTCTATGTGAGGTTCTGCCAGGCAGAGAATATAGAAAAGACTTGGGCTTGCCTTACAGGACTGATTTAGAGCCAGAGCAAATGTCATTGTGTATTTAGATTGAACTGTGTGACAGTGCCTCTATCTGGTAAGTTAAAAAAAGATTGAATATTCACTTTCATATGGTCCAAACTAACAGTGCTTAAGGAGCCCAGCACTAAACACTCCTAAGCAGTTGAATTTCTGCAAACAAAGGTAGACTGCTTTTCTATCCTCAAACAAGCACACGGGAGGATAGACAGAAATTGGTATTTATTTGCTATTTTCATAACAGCTTTTCACCAACCCATGGAGCACTGATCACTGTGCTCAGCCAGGAATAGCCATGCATGCATTGTTGAATTAATCAGCAATTCTCTAGGATTTTATAGTGATATTAGATGAGAAACTTACACTTTCATCTTAAGTGACAAATTTTGCAGAAATTCACCTCATATAGCATATAGTTGACGTTTTCTAAGTTGACATGCTCCTATGACATATTCTAAGAAAATGAGAACGAAAGACTTGCATTTAAAGCAAGGCAGAAAACCCTGAGGCATGATTTTCTATCAGTCCATATTCTTTTTGTGCCAATTAAGTTGGTTTCTGTCACTTGCAAATTAGTCTACCATAACATGAAAAATTCTCAAAGATACAAACAGCATTTTCCTTTTCAACCACATATCTCCCCTAGAAAGATACCCTTCAAGACTATCAAGCAACATTACCTTATCTCACTGTATCTAAGATTCAGTCCAGGGCATGCATAATGACTCAATTGGCTAATCCTTCCCTCTGTAAGTGGTAGGATCCCATATGGGCACCAGTTCATGTCCCTGCTGCTCCACTCCCCATCCAGCTGCCTGCTTGTGGCCTGAGAAAGCAGTGGAATATGGCCCAAATCCTTGGGACCTTCCACCTATGTGGGAGATCCATAGGAATCTCCTGGCTTCAAATTGCCCTAGCTCCAGCTATAACTTCCAGTCATTTGGGGAGTGAACCGGTGGATGAAAGATCTTTCTCCCTCAGCTGTAGGTAACTGCCTAGGTTGTTTTATAGCTAGGCAAGTGTTACGCTGCTGGGAGAAAAACAAATAGCTGGCAGGTATCCTCAGCCTGGTGAATTCCAAATTTGTGTTAACTATACCAGAATGCCAACACAGTTGCCTATTTTCTTTAAGATATATCAGAGGCAGGCTCTGGCATTCTGGCAGATAGGGTGTTGGGACCCATGTTCAAGTATGCATGGGCCCTGGGCAAGCAGGTGGGCCTCCAGATGGCACAACACACTGCCAGAGAACTGGGCTTGGGGATCTGTGCATTCATGTGCATGGGGGGCTGTGACTTGCTCAGGGAAGGGTTCTGGGGATGTGTAGGAGTGAGGACTGCTGAGAGAGAATGTGACAGGTGAGGAATAACTTCTGGGGCACTTGCACAAGCCAGGCTACTGCACTTATAGGTAAATGAGGGGGCCGAGACCCAGTGGTTTGTTGGAGGGAAAAGAGAGGAACTTTCAGGACCAAACCAGTACACTCACCCATGTGGGAAAACTGAGCTGGGCTTGTGGGTATCAATCACCATCTAATGGTATGCACAATAGTCATGGCTTGGAGGACCACAATACCCACCAGTGAGTATTGGGGCAGAGGGTGGACCATGTCGGGCTATGGTATGACACTAACCAGTATGTAAGAGAACTGGGTCTGGGAGCATATTCTGTGTGGGATTTGTGGGCTTACCCCTGTGGGACTGACATACCAGCTTGTTTGCTCAAGGGCTGTGAATGGTGACAAGCTTAGCTAGGCATGACCATGAATATCACCAACACTTATGGGTGCTGGCATTGGGAACAGGCTGTGCTGGACCAGACTGTAGCACCTGCAGGCGCACCCAAGAATTGGAAGTGGGGCTGACCAAAGTACCAGACTGGGTGGCAGGCTATGCTGGGTAAGGGCTTAACACCCACTGGCACAGGTAAGATCTGGGTCTGAGAGTGGGCCTGGTAAGGGAACTTGGGGA